TTATTCGTTATGCTTGATTTGTTCTGGACTTCCCTGTTTTCATCGACCTTGACTTCCACATCCACCATTGGACATTGCTTACTACACTATCTATTCTCAACTTTGTTGTCGTTTGTCGTGGTTAATAGTTGTGCATTCAATGTATTTTGTGTTGACCCTGAGGTGTCGTGGTCATGGTTGATCTGCAGATCTGATCGATCAACCGCGTCTGACTCATCGACCTGAACGTCACCCGAGTTCATCCCATTGCCTGCTAGCTTTGTCCAGTCCCTGTTTGCTTACTCATATGTGTGTTGCGAATGCTATGCATGATCTTTGGTTGTTGTTGTGGACGTCATTGCCTCGTTTGATGCTGGTTCCGGCTTTTCTTCAATCAATTCAACGTTCAACTCAATTAACGTCCGCCGCCTTCCCTCTGCCGGCCAAGTACCCGCCGCCCCTATCGCCCACACCGCACACACACCCATCAGCCGTATCATACTAACCTTCATCAATGCTGAAGCCCAATCTCCATACCTACTACCATTTCGCCCGTCACGACCCCACGTCACGACCCCCCTCATCCCCCCCTACCATACTCATTACCACCCATCACCATCAACCACCACTCCCACCCCCTACTTCACCACCATCACTTCCATCCCAGCCACAGCCCCCACCCTCATTTCGTGGCCATGCCCACCACCATCCCATCGCGCACCCCTCTTCCTGGTCCTCCTCATCCTCCTCCTCTCCCCGCTCCATCTCACCCCCATCCCCATTCCCGACCCTGACACCCATACCCCTCAACCATCACAAGTCATACTGCCGATCCTCCAACCAACAGCATTCTCAAACCACCCATCCCCGACCCAGCTCCCTCAGCTGTCCCCTCCTCGCCGACCACCAGCCGCCCAGCCGTCGCCCGCTCGCCCGATCAGGCCGACCTTCATCACCACCTAGCTCCTTCCCACCATCAGCTACGCAACCCGCGTTCACGCTCAAGGTCATCACCCGCCGCATACTATTACCAGTACAAATATCGCTGTCGTCCATACCCATCTACCTCGGCTCCCTTGCGCGTCGACTTGTTTGCCCTAGGTGGTTGAGCACGTCCTCGACCGCCCGACCCCGCACACGACCCCCACCAACCTCATTGCAAGATATGGCCAATCTGATTTCACTACTACTCTACTACATACACACACTACCCCCTTGCACAGTCTCCAATCTATAGCTGCAGTATTCCGGAATCCGAGTTCTGCCGGCTCAGGCCCAAGTTGTTGGCCCTGTGTCCCTTCGATGCTGCTGACACCCCTGCCCCGGGCTCATATCCGACCCCCACTCCCTACCATCTCCACCCACAACCATCACACCCACACCACACGTACGCACCATCCTTGCAAACATAGCCATCCACTTCACGTGCGCCGATTTTCACATCAGCCGACGCCAACCCGTTAACAGCATCGCTGCTGACCGCCTGCTGCTCGCCGCCGACCGCCGCCCGCCGCCGACCGACCACCGCCGGCACCACCGAGAGCAAGCTAGCCATGCACAGGGCATTGGAGACGATGCATAGAGATAGCCACATCAATGGCAATGACTAACAGTTGGCCCTTCAACCCAATCCTCCCCTCCCTCCTCCGACCTTGCCCATCACAGTCCCCGACGGCCTGCTCATCGCCAGCCACCCCTGCTGCCGATCACCGAGCCAGACGACGAGGCCTATGGACTGGCCAGGACGAGGAAGAACAAGAGAGGGCAAGTGCAAGCGGTTGGCAATGCAGTGGTGGGCTAGACTTGCAAGCTATGCCAATCTGATTTCACTACTTCCATATCATATGCAGACACTTCCCCCAGCTACGGTATCCCGGTATTGCTAGTCTGCACACATCCTAAAAGAATCACCTTTCTACGACGCTCGGGTCCACGCGATCATCAGCGGCTAGGAGTGCGACGACGTCGGCGTGGCCCTTCTCTGCTGCCCATCGAATGGCCAAGTTATCGTTGGCTGCGGGGTCGACACGCACATCCTTGAGCAGGACAGCAACTGTTGCAGCATTGCCCCTTCTTGCCGCCAGGCAAATAGCTGCGTTACTCGAGACGGCCGCCTCTAAATGGCCACCGGACTGAATCAGTGCCACAACAGCGTCATGACCGCTTTCGCTGGCAAGCATGATGGGATCCCCGCCGCCAGCAGACGGGTTGACGCGTGGATCGCTCAGCAGCAATGCCACAGTCTCGCCGTTGCCACACTGTGCCGCGAGCTGCAGCGGCTCGTTGCCACCCGCTGCAGGATCGACGCGCTCGTCCGCAAGCAGCTCTGCGACAGCAGCCGTATGCCCACCGCAGCACGCCGCATTCACGGCCTCATTGTCGCACGCGGATGGGTCCACACCGTCGACGCCTAGAAGTATCGCCACACACTCAGCATGTCCAGCCTCGGCAGCCCGCCGGATGGCGAGGTTGTCATCGGCAGAGCTATCGACCGCAGGCTCACGCACCAGCCGCTCGACAACGTCGACGAGGCCCATGCCGGCGGCGACTTGCATCATGCACGTCTTCTCCTTGTCGTCCGCCACCTCGGCCAGCTCCATTGCCAGCTCACCAAGCGCTCTTCCGCCGCAAGCCACGATCGCGCCTACGCCCAGTTGCCTACAGGGCCATTGCCACTGGCTTCCCATGACCATATCACCCTCGCGGAATGCAGCTGTCACGCCTGTGCGTCCCATCGCCAGAGCCAGTGCCTTCCAGTCGTCGTCGCCGTAGTCCTGGGCCTCGAGCGCGGCTACCACCCGGTGGCTGGAACCACACGGCTGGGCGAGCCATGTTGCACGAGCATTCTCGGTCACCTGCGTCAACGCGAACAGTGCCCCCTTCCACAGCCGCAGCGCCACGCACCGGTTGAATCCCATCAGCGAGTGAGCGCGCGCCCGCGAGTGGCTGTCGCCGAGCAACGCGACATTCAGCCGCTTGCATGTCGTCGCCACCGCCACTGCGTCGCGCGCAGACAGCACGCCCAGGTTGTACACAAGGGTATGCAAGACTTCGGTACTAAGGTTGTCGAGTCTCGTCATGCTAGGTTGGAGCTAGGTGTTTCTTGTTGAACTTTGTTTAGCACGCATCAGCGACAGACCCGGCGTCGGCGACCCGGAGCACGTGCAAAACACATGCTGACCTCCACACTGCACATCGCTTGCACATTATCTGTCCACGTCTGCCACTGACACACTGCCAGCAAGCCGCATCAGCGCGGCCCGCCGTGCTCATCGAGGAGATCAACTTCGAGGGCTCCCGCTCCCGCGCCGGCACCCACGCCCACAGCATCGGCAGCGGACGAGGCGGGCTCGCTAGCTGCAGGAAACACGGTCTGCCACAGCGGGCGGAGAAAGAGCATGGCCGGGGTGAGGACGCCAAGTCGCTGATGGAGAACAAAGAGAACCGAGGCGCAAAAGACGAGAAAGGCAAGCGAGATCAGCAACCTATCTGTCGACGCCCGCTCGGTGATCCGTCGCGTCGAAGCAAACGCCTCATCAACTCCAGCATCATACTGCGAGTACACGTTGCCAACGTCGGCAATGGTCCCGGACGACGATGCAAGCAGGTCCAACGCGTTGGCTCCGCGCTCCAGCGACGACGCCATCAGCTGGCGCGTCCGTAGCATGCCTGCATTGATGGAGCGGACGCTACGAGCAACCGCGGCACGATCCTTGCGCCGCTTCTTGGCCTCATTTTCGTCTCTATCTCTATCGCTGTATCCAAGGAGCTCGTTGCGCGCCGCCACCAATCCGCGCTCGTGCCCCGCCGCAGCCGCCACACGCGCTGCACGCAGCATCGACTTGAGCCGCACGATCTCCTGTCGGTGTGTCCGGAGCATCTCCAGCTCGCCGCCAGCACTCACATTATCCCCCTCCGTCGCCGACCTTTTCTCGCTTGACTGGCTTGCGCTTGCCGCAGCCGTCAGCGAGTCTGCGAGCTTGGAGAACGTGCCTCGGGCCGAGTCCTGGGCCGCCATTGTTGCCCGCATCCGCAGGACCTCGACCTCGACCATCTCCTCCAGCACCTGCAGCTCCTTCTGAATGATCTTCATCCGCCGCGCCACCTCTGCTGGTCCCGCACCCGATGCATGGAGCTTGGCCACGGCTTCGGAGACCCTCAACTCGCGCTCGACCAGTTGCGCATGGCTCGCACGCCCACCACCACCACCACCACCACCACCACCACCACCACCACCACCACTACTACTACCACCATTACGGCCACCACCACCATCACCACTAATCCCATGCCCACCACAATGTCTGTTCATATCCACAACACCCTCCAATAAGCGTTTCAAGAGCCGTATCCCCCCCGCACCGACCCCCCCCCCCCCCCC